GGGCTGGCTCAGAATGCCTTCAGGGCATGTTTGACTGGCTGGCATTGTGGGGATGGAACCACAGCAACCTGAGGCTGACTGCTTTGTTGAAGCAGCCACTTAAAGAACTGAGCTGGGGCCGGGGAGATGGCTCAGTAGGATAAGCACTTGCCTGGCAAGCGCAAGGATCTGAGTTCAATCCCCGGTTCTGCCAAAAAACAAAAACAAACAAACAAAAAAAAACAAAACACAACTGAGCTAAGGGGCAGGCCTCTACAATACAATGTTGAAAGTAGAGCAGAGGAACAAGAAAGATACTAGAGCAAGGCAAGGGCACTATGTGACTTCTCTTGGTAGGGGGAGAAACGCCTCCAAGGGGAGGTGATGTTGTGAGCTGGGTCTGGAAGTGCGAAGAAAATTTGGTCTGTGCAGAGGAGGGAGAGGAGAGGTTGCGGATGGAGCATGCTCAGGAGCAGAGGCCTGGTGTCGGGAGAGGATGGACGTTGGACTGGAGTGCAGGTGGCAGGCTGCTCAGGTCAGCTCAGGTGTAAGTGTGGGATGGCATTCGGGAAGGCTGCCAGGAACTTCAGAGAAGGGCTGCTCACTCCTCAGCAGAGACAAGTAAGGTAGCAAGTGCTCTTACTGCTCAACATCAGACACTAGGAAATATCTGCACTGCAAACCGAGGAGTTGAGCCCAAACTTTTCTGCTCAGGATGTGTGAGGAACTCTATCCCTGGGAATTCAGTATAATTGAAAGGTCCCTGCTGAAAGAGAGCTGTCTTGCCCACTCTGCAGGTGCAAAGGGCTTGCAGTCATTGTTCCAGGCCCTTCATTGCTTGGTGCTCCTGGAAGCTGCCACCTTAGTACGTGAACCTGTGGATCATGGAGTTTATAAAATGTAGGATTCAATATTTTTGAGTTTCACTTTTCTAAAATTCTGAGTAAGACAACAGAGTTTTACTGCAACTGTAGCCTTTCTTCCAATATCTCCCTCCTACGTTTTTGTAGTCTTGCCTTATATCAGGAATCAAACTCAGGA